CAGGAAAAACCGCTGTATCGGGACTCCCAGCAAACAAGTAGTTTGTTGTCCCCAAGTCCCCACCCAAAGCCATTTCCTCTCCACCCACAACAATCATGACTAGAGCTGCTTGTACACGCCACCATTCCACTTGCAACATCGTCCTTCTCCCGTGTGACTTGCTCCTCCATGTCGCCTCTCCACCTGCAATGACCAGCGCTAGATGCCATTCTCCTCTACGGCTCGCCTCTGTACCCACGACAACTACCACTGGAAGCCACGCCTACAACCCTCCTATTGGCACGAGCTCGGCTGTTTGTGACTTTGACATAATTTTTACTCTTAGAGTCATTGCAGAGGAGAGCTTATAACACTTTAGCACACCTTTTGATATTTTTTATAAAACCACATATTTTTGCTAACTATCAACATGATCCCCAGATTGCTCATTCGTTGGCTGGTCGAAGAGGTTGGGCCCACTCTTTTCAGGCTGGAGGATCACTTGTTCCAATATGGCAATGCCACCGTGGCAAAGTCCAATTTCCCCATCAACACGGCATCAACAACCTCCAAGTTTCTCTGCCAAACCCATAACACCTAGGGCGTCCCAAACCCTAAACCTAAAGACCCTTCTTGCCGCTGAAACCAGCGACAGCGGGATGCTGAAGGTGGACTGTGTTTCCTGTGCTGCTTTGTGTGGTTGGTGCATTCCTTGCGCTGGTGGTGGTGGCCGCCGCTCTCCCGACTATTGAGAACTTCTGGCGGCGCTTCTCCCTTTGCCGGGTGGTGCTTCCCCACAGGTGGATCTCATTTGCTCGCCTGGCGTGTCGGGCCAAGCTTGTCTTGATATGGCGCAGGGAGGGCCTCACCCGCCCAGATCCGGCATAGATCGCCTCTTCCAACCGTTGGGCGTGTTCTGAAATCTCTATGCAGCGCGGACTGGGCAGATGGGCCTATGGGAGAGCCGTGCAATGGGCTTCACCATCCAGATCTCTCATGCTTGGCAACCTTTGCCTATCATGCCCGGGGCATGTTGTTGAGGCTCCCGGTGGAGCTGGGGCCCACAATGCCATGTAGTGGCTCCCTGATGAATCGTAGCGAGCCTTTTCATCCTGCGTGGCCGGGCTCTTTGATTCTGGATGGTGCAGCTTTTGGTGGCGGTGGTTCGTGGGCTGCATGTAGCACGCCAGGGGTGACAGCGGTGGCATAATGTGGTGCTCTGACTGAAAACTTTGTCTTGGCATTTACTAGTGCCAGCGATGATGGCGCTTTGGGCACCGTTCTCCTGCTTGGAGGGCTCGTTGAGATGGCGTCTTTGGGCATCGTTCTCCTGCTTCATGGGATTGTTGAGATGGCGCCTTTGGGTCTTGTCCTCTTGGCTTGAATCGTAGTTGAGGACTTCACTTCTTCACCCCACGTACTGTCCAGGTGAAAAACCTATCTGTTTGCTTTCTTGAAAGTGTTGCCTTGGAAACCTGGAGCCTCGGTTTGGTTTGTACGTGCCCTACAGCTATGCAGTCTGTTGGTAGAGAGGCTTACAGGGAGCGGCTGGACCGCTGGAGGCCGATGCTGTTGTGACAGCGGGCTGGATGTGCACACTTGATCTGGGGATGGTGTGGATGTGCCATTGTGGTTGTCTCATGGGGGTTGAAGAGGCACAACTTTGCTTCCCTTGGGAGTTGTTTTCTCTCTCTGATGTTTGGCGTGGGTGGCTGACGAATGACGGCCTAAGCATCTATGCAAAGGTGCCGCACAGTGGCAATACTGTGGCGAAGTCAAAATCGTTGGGTCATGATCGCAACCTTGTAAAACAATGTAATTAAGGCTTGATTTTACGATGCTAATATATTCGGGCTTAATTTTTTGTTGTGATGGTGATATGTTTGATTGAATATGTGGATATGTTAAGCAGAGTGCAAAATCACATGCTTTTACAATTCTCTTTTATATCAACGATATCGAGGTTAACATGTGAAAAAATGATACTGAGGTTCTGAGTATGTAGCAACAGAATTTTGTTCTCATATACTTAGATACATCCATTTCTAGGACAGGTATTTTCGGACGGAGGGAGTATCAATTATGGTAGCCAAACATGCACACATACTAGTTGATGTGAAGGCAATGGCGTCTTCTGGGAATCTTTCATCCGTTGAATCTTCCAAAACTCTATAGTTATTTAATTCTATATGAAAAATCCAGTGAGGCATGTCCCATATTGATCAGATATCGAGAAAGGAAAAAAGGAGAGAGGTATTGTTAAAAAAAGAAAAACACTTATTTGCAGAAAGCAACAGCATCCAGAAACATGGTACGTCCAGGTACATACTGACCATACTATGCATGTGCACTCTTCCAGAAACATGGTACGTCCAGGTACATACTGACCATACTACTTTGCATGTGCACTCTTCCAGAAACATGCATTCTGCGAATAACATGCGTACACAGCTTGGTTTGCCAACAATATTCTACTTCTAATGATTTGACTAATACATTATTAAGACAAGATTGAATGCAGACACCTAGATGTGAACAACATATCTGGATGCTAGACCATAGCATACTGGATCATATTACAGTTGAAGTGGGCTTAGCCAAAATATCTGAATAATACTAACTGGTCATATAGCACTCCTACCCCAAAGAACACACCAAAGGCAATTGCAAAGGTGACCTTATTGCTGCATTGTTTTGCAGAGATGATGGAGATGGGAGGTGCTTCAACTGAATCACAATGGTTAATAAGCAGAGACCCGCATAGTTTTGGGTTCCCATTAAAACTAGAAGCTTGAAATGTGCTCAGCTGGCCTTTTGTTGGAATGGGTCCTTCTAGGTTGTTGTTAGAAATGTTGAACTCCGAAAGGAAGTGAAGGATCTCCAATGCCGCAGGAATTTCACCAGTCAGATGGTTATTAGACAAATCTAGCTTCTGAAGGTCAGTGAGGTTACCGATCGACTGTGGGATCTCTCCATAGAAGTTGTTGGAACTCAAGTTCAGGTAAAGGAGTGCTTTCAGCTGACCAATCTCTTGTGGGATCACACCTGTGAATTTATTGTTGCCGAGATTCAGCTCTTTGGCCCGAGCACTGTTTATGCGGTATTGAAGTTTTGATGGATCCGCAGCATAAATAAGTAGACCAAGGTCAAGGAGGCTTGGGTCCGAATAGATGCCGGCCTTATCTGATTTAAACATTGTCATCTGCATCAAGGTGATTGGGATTTCCCCAGTAAGACTGTTGTTAGATACATCCAGATGAAAGAGGTGGTTTAGGGAGTTGATCCAGCTTGGAATTGGTCCGGTGAGTCGATTGTTGAATAAGTCTAGGATCTTCAGATTTGTGAGTTTTGATAACCAAATAGGTATCCTTCCAGTCAACGAACAATGGTGCACTGCGAGATATTGAAGATTCTGGAAACCGTCAATGGTTTCATCTGGTGGCATGGCCTCATTCATGAAGTTTTTGCCAATAAGCAGGACGCTGATGCTCCTACAACTCTGAAGGGCATGCAAAACTTTTGTGATGTTTGTGAAGGAGTTTTCAGTAAGAGATAGGAAGGACAAGTGCTTCAGATTGCCTATTCTTGTTGAAATCTCACCGTGGAAATGGTTGATTGACAGCCGCAGTGCAGTCAAATTGCTGCATGAGTAAATGCTTTCTGGAATTATGCCACTGAGATTATTCTTCATGAGATCTAAAGTTTTTAGATTCGGTAGGGTGGCGAAGTTTACCTTGCCTAGATTTCCACTGAAGTTGTTGATCTTCAGATCAATGGTTTTGAGATTTGTGCAGTTGCTCATAGTCGATGGCAGCTCCCCAGACATGTTATTGCTACCCAAATGGAGCTCCTCGAGCCTCCTGAGCTGACCTATGGACTCTGGAATGGTTCCACTGAAACTGTTCCCTCCAAGGTCAAGAGTAAGCAGATTATTGAGTTTGACTATGTGTGCTCCATCAAGTTCTCCTTGTAAACCACCATTGTTGGGGAAGGAGAGGTACTCCAGCGAGGTAGCATGGAAGATTTCAACCGGTAGAATCCCACTTATGTGGTTGTTGCCAGCCTTGAGCACTTTGAGCTTGGAGCAATTACCCAGTGTGTTTGGAATGTCGCCGCTCAATTGGTTGTAGCAGAGGTCAAGCAAAGCCAAAGATGGCAAGCCAATGCAAAGAGAAGACGGTATGTGCCCAGTGAAGCTGTTATTGCTGGCGTTGAGCGCGATCAGATTCTTCATCACCTTCCATGTGGCTGATGGAAATTCTGAGCTGAACTGGTTGCTCGAGATGTTGAGTACTTGCAGAGGCCGGTCAGTGGTAACCAAATATGGAAGCTCGGGCAGCGGTCCATTGAGCCGGCTGAAGCTGACGTCGAGGACGATGATGCTTCCAGAGAACATGAGCTCCGGAGGAAGGCCACCTGAGAAGGAGTTGTACGAGAGGTTGACATGCAGCAGACTGGTGAGGTCGGCCAGGGATGGCGAGATGCGCCCTTCAAGTCCTTTAGATCCCAGGGAGACCTCAGCAACGGCCCCGTCTCCATTGCAGACGACGCCTTCCCACTCGCAGCAGTCCGTGCCGTTGTCGCGCCACGATGCAGCGAGGCCGCCGTCTTGTGATAGTCCGGCAAGGAACTGAAGGAGGTTGCGCTTCTCCTGCTTGGTGCATGCGGTGGCAGGAGAGGCCAAGAAGAGTAGCAGGAACAGATGCAGCACGACGGGAGGAACGGTGAGGAACCGCATTGGTTGGTGTTTCTTCCCCTTGTTTTGCTATTGCTTGAAGGATGCATGCACTGCTGGTACTCTATATCATCCAACAGGGGCTTTATTGTGTGCATCAGAGTCAATGAACAGTGTACACCACTCATAACATTTTCTCCGTGTTATGTCATGGGTGCAGCTTAAGGCCCTGGGCCACGGTTGGTTGGTGCACAAAAGGCTGCAGTACTACCGTGGGAAAGCTACATCCGTGCCTTCTACTCGCCATCAACTAGTTTATAAAGCTCTCTTCTACTTGTGTATGGATTAAATAGTTACGGATTAGATTGATGTTAGGCATTGTATCCAAAATATTCAAGTAAAGAGAAATCAATCTGTCATCTACCAGCCCCAAGGTTCATGCTTATGTTTACATGGCTGAAAAATATATAGGAGAGCAAGGTTCATTGCTAGTTAGCTCATCTTAACTGACCTATTTATTGCGTTGCAGCCCAATAGTACATATGCTAGTGGCAGGCTGCCATCGATAGCCTGGCCCCTGGGGTACCCTAGTTTTGGGCCAGCTGTGGGTTACTGGGAATTTGTTCACCCTACAGTTGGTATACTTGAGTATGATATGTACGGACCGTACCCAAAGATACCAGTCCACATGGTCTGGATTTCTTTTGATTTGATAAATAATGCAGAATGGTTCCAGTTAGGCAGTTACACCACACGATTTGTTTTCCATGCTTTAATGCAGAAGCAAGTTAGATCCTGGAAATGAGAGTCAAATGGTCGATCAGAGAGGTGTGTATCTTGCGTAGTTTCTTGGTTGAGCCTGATAAAATCAGAGTCAAATGGAAATTTCTTCTTACTTCATTGTTGTTTCTTGCACGATGGGAAGAGTTCAGGTAGGTTTCCTCTTCTCAGTTCATGCTTGAGCCGTTTTCCTCCATGCTCGCTTTTGGTGGTTAGTAGAGTACTGGGGGTATTTGTGTTTCAATAGAATCTACTGAGAAGGTACATACCTAAATGCCTTATCTAATTCATGCTTTGCAGAACATTTTGTGAAGTTGTGTTTCATGTCTATGAGAAGATATTCTGCTTGATATTTGTTCTACTGGAAGATATTCTGCTTGATAATTATACAGATTGGTGGTTGTCTCCACACGAGGTGGCTAGGTTGACGTATTTGAGCATGAAACTTTACAGGAAACTCCCTCTGTAAACTATGATATTTGTTTTCATTTGAAACTTTAAAATACGATTTTTGAAAATTTTAAAAACAAGGCTCTATGAAGCTCGGGAGCAAGAAATCCACTCGCAAAATCACATGCTTTTACAGTCCTCTTTTATATCAACAATGTCAATGTTAACATGTGAAAAAATGATATTGAGAGTCAGAGAGTGTCAACAGAATTTTATTTTCTCATATATCAGTTATGGTAGCCAAACGTGCTTTGCACGTACACAGATACTAGTCGATGTGAAGACAATGGCGTCTTCTGGGAATCTTGCATCCATTGAATCTTCCAAACTCTATGGCTATTTCATTCTATATTAAAAATTCTGGTGAGCCATGTTCCATATTGATAAGATATTGAGAAATGAAAAAAAGAGAGCTATGGGTAAAAAAGGGAAAAACACTTATTTGCAGAAAGCAACAGGATCCAGAAACATGGGGCCTGTTTGGATCGCAGCCGTGGGACGCCCTGCCAATTTTTTGGCGTTGACCGCTACCAGGGGCGCTTGTTTGGATTGACGCCCATATGTCGTAGCCATGCCAAAGTTTTGGTAGTTCTGTTCTGTTCCTACGCCCATGCGTTGGCGAGATCTTGGCGGTGAAATTGCTCGCCGACTTTTTGGCGTGGCCGATTTTGGCGGGGCTGACGGGGGCGCAATCCAAACAGCCCCATGATATGTCCAGGTACATACTGACCAAACTACTTTACATGTTCAACCTTTCAGAAACATGCATTCTGCGAACAACATGCTCATACAGCTTGGTTTGCCAACAATATTCAACTTCTTAAGATTCAACTAGTACATTATTAAGACCCATTGCACGTAAATACAAAGATGTGAACATATCTGGATACTGGATCAGATTACAGTGAAGTGGGCTTAGCCGCTTAGCCAAAATATTTGAATAATACTAACTGGCCATATAGCACTGCTACCCAAAAGAACACACAAAATGCAATCACAAAGATGACCTTATCGATGCATTTTTTTGCAGATGTAATGTAGACGGGGCCTGCTTCAACCGAACCGCAATGGTTTATAAGCACAGAGCCGCACAGCTTTGGGTTCCCATTAAAACTAGAAGCTTGAAATGTGCTCAGCTGGCCTTTTGTTGGAATAGGTTCTTCTAGATTGTTGTTTGATATGTTGAACTCGGAAAGGAAGTGAAGGTTCTCCAATGCCGCAGGGATTGCACCTGTCAGATGATTATTAGACAGATCTAGCCCCTGCAGGTTTGTGAGGCTGCAGATCGATTGTGGGATGTCTCCATAAAATTTGTTGGAACTCAAGTTCAGGTAAAGGAGTGCTTTCAGCTGACCAATCTCTCGTGGGATCATGCCTGTGAAATTATTTTTACCGAGATTCAGCTCTTTGGCCGAAGCACTGCCTATGCGGTATTGAAGTCGTGATGGAGCCGCACCATAAATAAGTACACCTAGATCAAGGAGACTTGGTTCCGAATACATGCTGGAATTAGCTGATTTTAACAGTGGCATCTGCGTCAAGGTGTCGGGGAAGCTGATCCACGAACACCTATAGGGCCGGCGGACCGAGCCCCTTTCGGTTCGGCGGGGGGCGGAGGTCGCACGAAGAGCGGATCGAGGCGAAGCACATGAGCAGTTTACCCAGCTTCGGAGCTCTCCGGAGAGATAATACTCCTACTGCTGCTTGTCTGATTGTATTGAGTTCTTACTCGGGAGCACTGAGTGCTACAGTACACACGAGCTGCTAACGAGACCGAGCGTGAGTGTTTTTTGGCGTCGAACCCCCCTTTACGTTGCGCATGGGCCTCCTTTTATATGCTCAAGGGGTCTCCGACAGGTGGCAACGTAGACAAGGGCAAAAATGGAAAATGAGTTGCGATTGGTACAACTACCTGCACAGTGTATCCTACCTAACCCTGACGGCAGGGGACAAAGGCATTAAATGCCCGTCTGCGTCGCCCGAATAGTGCAAAAAGGACCGTCAAGGACGCCACCGCTCGCCACGATGACAGTTTTGTCAGCGTCGCTTGCCACCGCGCACCGCTGGCTGCACAGCCTCCTGCCACGCGCGCCTGGAAAGGCCCCAGGGCGACACGTTGGTGGATGTGCTGGAGCGCGGGTACAGAGTGGTAGCTTGTCGCGGCAAGCGCCTTGCCGCGGCCGTTGTCTTGTCGCGTCCGGAAGCTTGTCGCTTGCCGGGCCTTGCCGGGACGCGTGGCGCGTCGCGGCAAGTTCCTTGAGATGCCTTGGTTGGCCTTCCCAGCAAGCTCCTCTTGCCGGGGCCTTGTCTCTTTGGCTTGAATACTTTGTTCTTGAATGGTTCCAAAGGAACCACGGAGGACCTTGGCGGTCACCCGGCAAGCCTTGCGGCGGGGTGCTGCAACTGCCCGTGCACAAGTTCGGGATACTAGGGTACCCCTACTCTAGTACACCGACAGGAGCCCCCGGGCCTGGGCCACACATGGCGCCGAGCGCTGTTGGGCCAGGCCCAAAACAGGGCACGGGCACGCGCGGCTTGGGTTACGTCGTATCTTACTCCGCATCCACCGCGCTCTCCCCCAACGGCACGCGTCGAATGCGGCGTCGTGGGAGAGATCGTGGGTGGTTTCTTTATTCGGAAAGGCGGAATGTCCGCCCCCTCCCTCTTTATAAGCAGGGGAAACAGGGGCAGTTCGCCCATCTCGCCGGTTGCTACTCCAATCTCGGAAATCTCCGCCGCTCCCCCTCTCTCTTCTCAAAGCCGAAAGAGAGCAGCGCGCCGCCCCCCATTGCCACCAGCACCACCAACGCCGTCGATCTCCCCCACCACCTCCGCCATGGCTCCGAAAGCCGACATGGGGAAGGGCGTGAAATCGGTCGAGGCGCAGCGGCTCACGGCGCTGCGAAAGGAGCGGGCCATCTTCCCCCCTCAGCTTGTCGCGAAGGAGCTGAGGGAGTACTACTACCTCTTCTGGTCGACGGAGACGCGAGCGCATCCGCGCACGAAGGTACTCCCGGCTGCCGCTTTGGAACTGGCTCCGAACGGATACCCCTTTTTTGCGATGTTCTTCTACTGCGGGCTCTGCCCGCCCTTCTCTGAATTTTTCTGTGACATCATGAACACCTACGGGTTCCGCCTCCTTGACTTCACCCCCAACGCCGTTCTGACCATGGCAGTTTTCGCACATCTCTGCGAAAACTTTGTCGAAGTCCATCCAAACGTAGCTCTTTTTCGCCACTTTTTTATGCCCCGAGTCGAGAGAGGAGAGCCTTTATCCGACGGAATCGCCTGGATCTCGAGAGTTGGCAAGAAGGAAGCTTATCTGGAGGGAGAGCTCCGCAGCAAGTGGGAGGAATGGAGAGCAGAGTGGTGCTGGATTGTCGAGGAGAACCCGCAGCCATTTACCGCCCTGCGACAAGCCCCAATAGCGCGCGGCAACGATTGGAGCAACGTGGCCCCGGAAGACGATAGGCTGAAGATTGCCGTCACCCGGATCCTTCGCCTCAGGCTTGCCGGGCTCACCGTAGGCGCCGTTGGCGCAGATTTTCTTCGCCGCCGCATCGCCCCCCTGCAGGAGAGGAGGAGACCCGCCTGGGAGTTCCAGAACTCGGCGGATATCATGAGGCTGCGCCCGGGCCTCAACTTCAGCTTCACTGTCCTGAAGCTGGACGCGATGCTCCTGGAACTGTTCAAGCGCGATCCTCAACATCCATTCATGTTGCCGAGGGG